TTGTTATCACCACCGCTGTAGGTGGTGCAAACGTCCAACACCATCGCTATACGTATGATACAGCAGGGATCAAAGTGTATCACCGCTGAATCATTCAGTACCCCGACACCGACTAAAGAATCATCAAAGGCGGATCGTGGTGCAAGGCGATGGTGACCATGACCTTTGTACTGACCGTTTATGCGCTAAGCGACAATGATGTTAACCTCTACACAGATGTCTCGGCCATCGAAGCGATAGTGAAGCCGCACTGCAGACAGTTGTGTCGAAGTACAATGCTACGGTGCTAGTGACCACTACACAGGAGGTTGATGTGCCAACACGACGGTGATGTTAGTCTCGACACAGGCGGATTATTGACCAATGTGGCGGTGTTGAGATCCGACATAGTCGGTTGCTATTCGACCTTGATGGCTACGACTATCATCGTCGAGTGCACACTGCCGAGGCCAAAAAACGGCTGCGATGGGGGTTACGAACCGATCATGGTAGGTCTGTATGTTGTAGTGATTGCCCTGGCTTCCTTGGACTTATCATCTTCACACACCAAACTATACATGTTGCCTCCTTCATCTTCATGTGTGAATGCTTCAAAAGGGACTCTGCACCTAGGTCTCCACCTTGCTGCTTGATTCCTCAGACTTCAGAAACTTCATGTTCACCTCCTCCCAATAGAAGAGTGGGAAACCTTCACCATTGCTCTACATTCAGTTTGAACTTTGAAGACATCAAAGCCAAATTGAAAATCGAGGAATTCAAAATCACAAAGTGAATCCAAATTCAAACTAACCATGTGTGTGGACAATAGTAGAACGTACACTTACCTGCGCTCCAATGTTTCTTTGATATCAGCCTCACCACTTGAAACTGGTGGCAATCAATGCACGTGATCAAGGAAGGGCACCTGATCAGCCCGAATCTATTACCGACAACATGGTGTCGCTCCTCATGGTGGAGGATCTGCCGCCACTGTCTCGAGTCGTCCATGGCAGACACACACACACACACACACACACACACACACACACACACACACACACACACACACACACACACACATATATATATATATATATATATATATATATATATATATATATATATATATATATATATATATATATAGAGAGAGAGAGAGAGAGAGAGAGAGAGAGAGAGAGAGATATGGGGGAGGACTGGGGAATGAAGGGAGAAACAAGTATGGGGTTTGGGCAAGAAGGCGACTAGCCACTGACCTCACACACACAGTAGATGACCTCTTCTCCACCTTAGCAGCCACGTTGTATAGTCCACGTCAGATATAAACACAAAGCGAACCAGTATAGACCTTACTGTACAACTTAAAAAGGTTTTGGACCCAAAAATACAAATCCAAAGTTGGTGGCCCTAGTCGACACAAACATAAAGTTAATAGACCAATAGTGCATTTTTCTCTATAAAAGAAAAGTAAAGTGGAGAGGAAGGTTAAGGAACGACGATCGAACATAGATTGAAATATAGTCTAGGTACACTACTTAGCTGGACAATCTAGCTGTGATGTAGCTTAACCTTGACATGCAATGATTAGGGATCATGTATTACCTAACAACAACGTGAATAATAACGACGTAGTACAAAACTTTTCTAATCACTTCTAGTTGTAGTGTGCTCAGCCTTGTACTCCGCCTGACGGCTAGTGATAAGCTGCGCGATTGATCAAATCATCAATAAATATGAAAGATGTAGGCATGGGTGTTTTAACAGCTGAACAACATATATGTCTGTACTTGGCAAGTAACATATATCATATATCAGGAATGTTCGCCTAGTGCAGTTCATGGTGCTCCTTTCCCAGTTGCACAAAACATGCCAGGATAGATTGTGATAGGGAGAGATGAGCAGAAATTAGTGTGCTATTCATGTGTTCGAATGCACGCAGCTTCCATCTCAACGTCAGTGGCATGACGTGCAGCTTCACAAATCAATCATAATTTAGTTTGCAGTGCGCTAAAATTTTCTTTAATAAGGATTTTCTCTTGGTTGATGTCGCACTGAGGTGACATTAACATATCATAGTGCTGCCATTCGAAAAAATAATAATAGGGCCGTAGGATTAAATTTCACTCATGCATTAAACCGGGCTCCTGCACTTAGTAAATCTCGAGAGAAGCTAGACACAAAAAAATGTTTAATGCCTATCTTTGTGCTCTCTCTTTGTTTATTTTCTGACATAATATTTTTTGCAAGATTATTTCCTAACATAATATGGATATAGATGCTTTGTAATCTCCATCCGGTTGTGACAGATTTATCAATTACTCTTTGTTTTTTTAGTTTTTTCTTGCCCTGCATGACACCTCCATGTGTCTTCAATATGAAAGTATTTGAAATCTTAACTTAAACTATTGTGGCTCTTATGTAAGCATATATCTCATCTCATGACATCATGAATCTAGATTTTGACTTTCAAATTTTAATCTTATTAGTTGCTACAAGCTTTTATTGTTAAGTTGAAACTCCCCTACTAAAAATAAGGATATTATAGGTCGTCACTGCTTAATTACTGAGATTTATGATGGGCTAAACGGTGCTAGATATAAGAGGATAATTTTAATATAGTTTGTTAGTTTCATTGGTATATGAATCGTTAAGGGAACATTCTTCATGATGGCAAATCATGTATATTTACTTTAATTTCAAATTTTTATATATCAATAGTAATTTAAGTGGTAAATTCTAAAACATATTTAGGCATAAGCTCTCATAATAGGATATGTTGGTAATTTACTATTTTAGATGTAGAATTAAAGAAATACTTAAGTTTTTTTGAATAGGCAGAATTGGTAAATTAAATATAAATTTAAGTGGTAACATATATTATCTATCATATTGATAGGACGGGAAGTTTAGATATAAATTTAGGGGTTAGTTTATATCATGTTATATTATGACATATGTGGGGTTACTTTATATTGTTTGCTATTTTTCTAATGACAGCTATGTATATTTTTTTTACAAAATAGAATATATTAAGTGGCTATTATTACCAGTAGTAATTAGAGGCTACCACATTGATGACCTGTTTTTCTGATTTTTTATGAAAATTTGTAGAATCGTCACCGTTGGAGGCCTCTAATTAGTAAATGCTCATGCGAAAGCTTGGTCAGTACACGGTTTGTGGAGGAAGCCAAATGTGAAAGCTGAACCCATATTATTACCAGGTCATCGGAAAATGGTTAAAAACATGGATATGGCTGACCAGTTAATCAAGACCTTTGCCTCCCTATATATATATATATATATATATACTACTCTGATAGTGAAAGAACCATTTCTTTACCGATGACTACCGAGTAACTTTCATGAGAGTATGTTGCCATCGGAGACTGGGTAATGCATTTTATATACTGACCGGATAACACTACACTTAACTGGAAATGAAGGTTAGAGAGATCAGCGAATGGATAAGCATTAAGTGGCATAAATCCAACAACTTTACCTTGTAAATGTAACAATGGGACTGTGTTCACTGTAAATGTTATTTGTCATCACCCGCGCTGAACATCAAAGCTGATGAGTTCACCAAATACTCAAGAATCCATTGTGCCTCAAACAAATGAAAGCGATCATATTCATCTGTTTGTATTGACAGAGAGCGGTTAATATGACAAGGCAATGTTCTGATTAATAAGAAACATTCTGGCGTCCTATACGGAAGGTTTCATGAAAGGGAAGAACATTTTGTCGATTTTGATGTCATTTTCTGTAAAGAAAACAAGATCCAGTTGTCCAGCGGATGCGTCGGAGGCAATGGCTACGGGCAACCCAAGTATCTCCAAGAAAACGTGTATAGAAGTTTCGAACTAAATCAGTCTCTTGACATCGCATATACGTTAATTGAAGGCGCTCAGGAGCTCCGAATGTTATTTTTGTCAGTTCGTAACCAGCAAAATAAGAAACATCAATATTGTTACTGATGGCATAATGTTGTTCTACAGGCATTATATATTAAGCCTGAGAAAGAGAGGACGAATAAACTTATTTAATAAAATTTCTGTAGGGGCTGCGGCCCCTCCAGTTTCCTCAAAAAAAAAATAGAGGACGAATAGCATGAGGTAATCATGTTTGTTTTACATGAATTCATGAAGTAATCTGCTTATCAAAGCTGAACATTGCATCGCATAGTGGCTCTGTAATACTGTAAATTTGAATTTGGTTATGCTACCTTCCTCGAGCATATGCATATCATTGCACCAAACAAACCTACACAGCCTCAGAAACTTGACAAAAATACTTTGCAGCAAAACTTATACCATAGAGAGAAAAAAAGGAATATGCATGGATAGGTCCTTCAGAAACATTCAAACTGAGAAAACTGAGTGGCGGCTGTTTTTCAAGTCTACTCAAGCATGCTGTAGAATAGCTGACTGCCAGAAGCAAACCGAACATTCTGAAAAAGAAAAAGAAATATACCATCTCTGAATCAGCCACTGTCAGAACCGAAAATGTTCCTACTGCTGTGTGCCAATGCAAGTACTGACTGTACCCGCAACGAAAGCGAGAACACGATCATCCATCCAATCACCTCTTCTTCGTTCGTATCACTAATTCATTTGTTTATCACCTACAATGACGAGCGACGGCGACAGGCAATGCCGCCGGGAAGTTGCCGCCGCTAGGCGCCACCGCGGTCGATCTCGGTTGCCCTCCGGAATAAACCCCGCCAGCAGACGCCAAACCCGTCATTAAAATACGCCAGAGCTGCCACCACATAGAACAAGTCCTCCTTGTTCTTCACACCCACTGACCCACCATGTGGCACGCCTCCACGCCGCGCCGGCCAAGCCGTACGTGCCGCGGATACATAAGACCCCGTCTCTCCTCCCACTCCTCTTGATGGCTGCTTCTTCCACCTCTGGATCTACCAAGAACTCATAGGGGTGCAGCGATAAGTGTTGTTATTAGGAAGGCAAGCTTTGTCGAGAGAAGAGAAGAGAAGAAGACGACGAAAGCAGGACGGCATGGATCGGTTGGTGATACCTGAGCCGTCGAACGAGGTGATGGTCCGGGTGGAGCCCGGGAGGCAGACGAGAGGGGAGCTGACGCTGAGGAACGCGATGCACACCATGCCGGTGGCGTTCAGGCTGCAGCCGGCGGTGCGTGGGCGCTTCGCGGTTCGCCCGCACACGGGGATCCTGGCGCCGCTCGCGGCGGTCACCGTGGAGGTGCTGTACCTGGCCTCGGTGGCTCCGGAGGGGCCCAGCGAGTCAGGAGGAGGAGGAGGAGGAGGAGGGAGCCGTGGCGAGGACGCGTTCCTGCTGCACAGCGTGGTCGTGCCGGGCGCCGCGGTGAAGGAGCCCGTGACGGCGCTGGACTCGGTCAACCCGGAGTGGTTCTCGGCGAGGAGGAAGCAGGTGTTCGTGGACAGCGGCATCAGGGCGAGCTTCGTGGGCGCGTCCGTGGCCGCGCGGCTTGTCGAGGCCGGCGCGGTCGAGGCGCTCAGGGAGGTGCTCGACCGCAGCGAGCCCGAGTGGCGTGCTGCGGACGCCACGGACGAGTCTGGCCGCACGCTGCTCGACCTTGCCGTCAGCCTGGGCCGTGCCGACATCGTCCAGGTGCTGCTCGAGTACGGCGCCGACGCTGACAAACCGAGCCGCGGCCGGACGCCCCTCGAGACCGCCGCCGCCTCTGGCGAGTGCCTCATCGCCGAGCTCCTCCTCGCCAACGGCGCGACGCCCGCCGGCTCCGACGCCATCCACATGGCCGCCGCCGCTGGCCACAACGACGTCCTGAAGCTGCTTCTTGGCAAGCCCGCCTCTGCCTCTCCAGCCTCATCCTCGTCCGCGTCCTTTTCGTCTTCTTTTACATCTATCGACGCGGCGGGGAGGGACGGCAAGACTCCTCTACGGTTAGCGGCGGAGGCAGGGCGGCGAGACGCAGTGAAGGCGCTTCTCGCGGCGGGCGCGAGGGCCGACGCGAGGTGCGGCACGGACAGTGCCACCGCGCTCCACGCCGCGGCGAGGCGCGCGCGACGAGGCGGTCGCGCGTCTCCTCCTGTCGCACGGCGTGGCCGGCACGGCCACGGTGCGCGACGTGGCCGGGAAGACCGCATTCGAGATCGCCGCCGAGGAGGGCCACGGCGGCCGGATCCTGGACTTCTTGGGCCTCGGCGAGGCGATCCTGGCCGCCGCCCGCAAGGGCGAAGTGAGATCGGTCAGGCGCGCGGCCGACGGCGGCGCGTCCGTCGAGGGCGGGACGCGCACGGGTGGACGCCGCTCATGCGCGCTGCCTTCAAAGGGCGGGCCGACACGGTGCGCGACCTCATCGACCGCGGCGCGGACATCGACGCGGCCGACGCCGAGGGTTACACGGCGCTGCACTGCGCGGCCGAGGCGGGTCGCGCCGACGTGGTCGACCTCCTCTTGAAGAACGGCGCGAACGCCAGGGCCACGACCGTGAAGGGAAGAACCGCCGCCGATGCCGCAGCCGCCGCCGGCAAGTCCAAGGTGGTTCGGCTTCTTGACAAGGCCAGCGTCATGGGGAGGAAGCAGGATGTTAGCGAGAAGGTGGCGCCGGCGGTGGCGAAGGGCGGTAGCATGGACAGGAAACGGAGAGCGCGGAAGGGGAGCAGTGGCGCCATACGGTTTGGTGGTGGGAAGGAGGGGTTCGAAGCCGCCGCGGTTACCGTTGGCTGGTCACACTAGCCGCTGTGCAAGAAGCAGCTGGGCCAGCCATCAAGAAGGATTTGTTCCAAATTGTGATTAGTTTTGGATGAGGCGATAATTCAAATTTGTTTTGAAGGAACAGGCAAGTAATATATGCGTTATACTTGTAAAAAGAGATTCCTCAAGAGTAGGTGTATAACTTTTTTTCCTTCTTTTTTTTCACTTTGTTGTGTCACACTATATACAATGGTGGCATGGGTTGTAGTTGATGACTTGAGGATAATCGTCCTGTTCGTTTAGGCTTGTTTGGTTGATAGGTTTACTATTGGCTGAATTGGTGTGAGAGAAAAGTACTATTCGTTTGTTGCAAGACTAGTTGTAGTTCTAAAACTTCGATAATGGCTGCAAGACCAATGGCTATATATACTATGCTCCAGCGCCTGCCTACGTGACTGTTATATTTGCGTGCTATTTCTCTATATGCAAGGAGAAAATTGTTCTGATAGTCTCAACCTAGAAATTATGAGTATATTTGTTAAGTCATAGAGACATTGCACCAAGAAATTATACTCTCAATAAATGGTTTCATCTTTAAAATAGTTTTTTTTATCAAACATCTTGTCTTTAAATTAGCTTCCATATAGGTTTGCAACCCCGTCCGAAACCCTACCCTCTTTAAGGTCCGCCCAGGCTCTGTTCAATCTCTGGGTCCGCCACAGCACCTTGCCACTCATTAATCACCAGTTCACTCAGACTCTCTTCCGTCATGCGCGCTCGCGGCTCTGCCCTCTCCCGTGCGTGCTCCAGCAAAGGGAATTGGCCGGCTGGGCTGCTCGGCTTTTGGCCTTAAGTGGCATATGGTCAATATTCTTATCTTTTTTTAATTATTCAATTCTTTATTTCCAACAAGAAAATAAAAGGAAAAACCCTTAAATGAACAATAGTAAACACTAATGCATGTGCTAAGTACTACTTGAATAAATAAACGTAAATCAGGGGCATAATAGACCATTTGCATGAAAACAATACATTTTATAGTGGAGCTGCTCTGTGGTGGAGTTGGTGGAGCAGAGCTGCAAAAACAGGAGCGGAGCAGTACCAAACACCCCCTTAACGAGCACAAAATGGGATTTGAAAAAACTCCAGCAATGAGGATTATTTCTTCTTTCATTTCCATTTTGAGGTTGTGTAGCAAATCGACACCAGCGGGAAAGTAGTAGCTGGATTCAGTCACTTATGCTTGAAGTTAAATGTATAAGCATGAGCTTTGTTAGTGTGCTTGATCGGAAGTGGCCGGTTCCTATCGCTGGGATTATTTTCAACCGTTGATTTAACAAATGCAAGCTAATAATACGAGGAGAGGTAGAGGAAGACCAAAATTAACATGGGAAGACAATAAAAAGAGATTTGAAAGCTTGGGATATACCTAGAGATCTATGTTTGAATAGGAGTACTTGGAAAATAGCTATTGAAGTACCTGAACCGTGACTTGGGACTCTCGGTGGGTTTCAACTCTAGTCTACTCTAACTTTCTTGGGACTGAAAGGCTATGTTGTTGTTGTTGTTGGTGTTGATTTAACAAATGACGGTTTCACTGTTAGTAAGGGTACTTCAGTATTTTGAGACCACCTAATTTTACTGAGACCCAAAACGAAATCGGTGCCTTGAACGCAAGCGGGCAACGACCAGTCAGTCGCCGCTGCGGATCCTCGTCGAGCTGGGATTCAACGGTCTATATGGCTTTGTGTCATGCAGCTTGGCTGGTAGGTTCCGTCCCCGCCATCGGCTCTTCAGATCGATGACGCCGCGACTAGGGATTCGGGAGCTCTTCATATCGACGACGCCAGCGCATTGGCAGCAAGCGCTCGACGCCGAGGGAGTCTCCGCCGCGGATCCTCGCCAGTCAGGGGCGTCGGCGTGTCAGGGGTTGATGGCCAGGTGCCCTCCGCCTAACGCCTCCTAGGGGTTCTTTGATCTGCTGGCCTTTGAAAAGGGCTTTTGGGCCCAAACGCTACATGCAAAGACCAAAATATCCTCTTTTAACAGAGTTCCTAGCTCACAAATTTAATTCCAGGTAACAGGTTCCTTGTTCCTTCTAATGGGTTCCTCCCACTTTTAAAGCAGTAGATCTGGACCCATCAACGGTTCTAAAAAAATCCAAGCACTGGAAAAATCCACCAAGTAGAATAGACTCTTAACACTTCACCGGGACATATGCACGGTTCCTACAAGTCTGAATTTACATGAACATAGTCAAATTTTAATCGACGTGCTCATTTTTGGTAGAGTATTTGATCGGCTGCCAGTGAGAATTCTGTGATGGCATGTACGACCATTCTGAACTCTGAACATTAAACATGTTCAGGTAGTGGTTTATATTGCCCGGATCTAACCACTATTGCGTTCTTTCAATTCGCACGAGGCAAAGTAACTACAGGCTTGGCCTTCAAGAAACAGCTACTCACTTCCTACTTAGGGGACGTTTGGTTTCCTAGAATTGAATCAGTTTCAATAAATCAGATTCTAGGAATTGATGTCCAGAATTGAATTATTTGGAAACTAATTCATTTCCATTATTCTTGTTTGGATGCAAACATAATTGAATTCCTAGAATTAAAATCAAAATGTTGTTTGGCTAGCTAGGATGAAGAATTGAACCCAGTTCATGCAATTGGGGTACATCTCCATAAACAGCAGAATATATGCATGTAATCACCGGTTCACCACAATATATGAGACACATAAACAACCCAATATAAGCTAAAACACCTCATAATCAAAATTTAAACCACTACATCAGTGAAGTGATAGGTAGAATCACGTACACGATGCAAGAGCCAAAACAACATGTGTTGATTACACATCAAAATTAAAACCATTTGATAAGAGACACATACGACTAGGTAGAAGCATTACACAATAATATGCTTAGAAGCAGTACTCTAATCACTTTTTAAGTTGCTTCAGTAGCCACCTCTTACTCCTTTGTACTGATAGGGCTCTCATGGACTCAAACTTGCGAGCATCGGAGGCGAGCATCGGAGTGCTGCAATTACTTCAGCTCAACAGGGAAGCTTTGGTGCATCGTCCTTCAGCTGTGTGTCAGACTGAGTTGTAATTGGGCCACGCTTAATTATATTCATCTATTGGGTCTTGTACTATTGATCAAAACCGAATAGTTGAGGAGCAACTGTCGAGGGTGTACTATATATTAGGGACCCCATTGATGATTTCAGGGTCCAATTACATAGCTTATGGGCTTATAGGATAAGGTTTAAGGTCCATTTATAGGCCCTAGAGACTCTATCGTAAAATACCAGCCCCACTAGGGGATAATGAAAACCTCCCCTCTCACCTTCCCTATAAAAGGGAACAAGGGGAAGATGAAGGAGGTTGTCCCTCTTTCTCTCCAATCACACCCTTCATGTTTAGCTAGCGGCCAACAAAAAAAAAAGATATGGAGAAAACACATGTACCTAAAAATTATTATGTTCATATGTCATACTGCAATACAAAACCCAAAATAGTGAAAAGCCCAAAGCTACCAACCCTTGAGAACACAATCAACTTCCTTGAGTTGACATGCTCAGGCCTTTGTGCACTCTGAGGATACACCAGGCCGACAGATCTAGATTCTCAACAATGTTTTCCTCAAAAAATATGGAAACTGCAGCCATGTATCATTGTCTTCCTCCGAACCAGCAGAATTAGATGGTGAATAATCAGCATCATGGTCTTGCTCCATGTCCTCTTTCTTGAAAAAAAAAGAAATTGGAAAGTCGTCACCTTCATCTTTATCATCAGAAGGGGACCACAACACGACACAATAAAACTATGAGTTTATGAATTAAACAAACAACCATGTGAACATGTTTGGAAACGAGTGGAATCATACCACAGTCACTAAAGGTATCAATTGGGATAGGATTTGCGAAACACATGCAATTACTAACATGATTAGTAATGTTTTGGACTCCCTTTGTATTGGTCCATACACAGCCAGAAGAACTATGCCGACCAATGAGCCAAAAATGACAAAATACCCAAAGACAAGCCTGAAATAAAATTAATGTTAGTTTAAATTAATATTAATACAATGATGTGTAAAAGATATAGTGCTTACCCTTGTACCCATATACCCTGCTAAATCTAGCTTGGCAACTAGATATGTTGGGTAGAAAGTGAATCCAAAGGCGTTGATCACTACACCTGTAATGCCAATGACATTTCCATCCTCGCCATGGAGTTGAGAAATAGAAAAATAGAAGCCAACTGTGGCAGAACCGTCTAATCTAATGCCTCCCAGGAGTACTTGTCTTCCATTAGACACTAAGTACTCAAGAGATGACACTAAACTACGCAGTTCCGTCGAGCACACCCCAAGAGTGAACTCGAAAATCGATATTTTTTATCAGGATCATAAATGAGAGAATAAAGCTTACAACATTCTTAAGTCATTTCTTACATCACTTTATTAGAGTATAGAATATTACCTCAATTTATTATAACAGCGAAATATAACAATGTTATCAGAGTTATAGAGGAAGCAAAGATTCATTTAATGACCTGATGGAGTATTAACATAGTGAACATTTATATACAAGAGATCCTAGCAGATTGTACATCTTTTCTTATAAAACCTTTAGTGATGGTTATAAATAGACACTACGGTCGTAGCGTGAAAGGAATCCTCTCTGAGCCCACTAAGAGGTTTCCACACACAAGGGTCAGCTCGATATATCCTTCGATCACCTGCAACAGGGGAATAAAACCCTGTGTACTCGATTATACTCAGCAAGACTTACCTGATAGGAGAAAACAAAAGACTCTAAGGATATACAAGGCTTATTTGACTTGTGGGTTATTACATCTGCAGAAGCATTACTAAATGCGTCCTTATATTAAATTTTATTCTCAGTCATCATTAGTTCATTAACTATCCATTCTATGTAAGCTCCTATGCTACTTTCAAGCAGGTGGTGAGCAATCAGAACCATTTTACCATCTTTCATATTCCAGTTCTTACTACAGTGCTAGAC